ATAATACTCGAAGCTTCCCAAAGTTTTCTTCGTCCGTACCCTCCGTGCCCCCGCCGCCGCCGCCGCCATCGGCTCGTTGGATGGGATTTCGCGAAATTCACCAACAATGCCGGCAATGCCGGCACACTTCGGAGTTTCCGAGCACCACTCCATAATAACCTGGGATACTTTGATATTACTAACGTAAATTGCAAATGTACCCACTCCGTTGAACGAATGCTAGCGGTGGCCCCGGCGGACTTGTAACAATACCCCCGTAACATTAGAAACGTTAGAAACGGGTTACAACGTTAACGTAATACGCGCCCGACAACGACGTACCGTGGGGCCCGGGATGCGGTGAATTTAATTTGCGGAGAATTTGAATAACGCGCGGCCATCGGGTGTGGCAGAGGCTCGAGAGAGGTCTGCTTTTTCCGCAGCACCTCTTTTCGAACAGGTTACAAAAACGTTCGGCGGTGGCAGGTTCGTTAACGCTGAAGCTACCTTACGACTTTCAGTCGTTAAACGCGTTCCCATCCGTGACGGCGGTGCAACACTTTGTCTCCCCCTTTCTTCCCGGACGTCTTCTCGTGCGCGGTGCCCTCCACTCGCTCTCCCTCTCGGCGCTGTTTCACCGTGCCATCCATTTTCTTTTCGCGGAAGTTAGTACGCGGATACACGCGGGAAGTACATTGCCCTCGTCGTGTACTTTTTGCAATACATTAAGCCGTATATTTTATGGGATATACGTAGCGACGGTGCCGTATGGCGACGTTTGCGTCGCCTGGCGTACGCCTTCCAACTGTATTGACGGGGGTGGGCCTGCGCGAAGACACGCAAATAACGTTAAGGGAGCCGGGCGAGTGACTGATGCGACTAGAGGGGAATGCTTTCCGCTTCGAGCCTGTTATTCTGCCCTCCTTTATTCTATCTCTCTCGTCGTGTCAGCTCTCGGTTCTACCCTCGCCCCCTCGCGATGTGAAAACAATTCTACGGGCTTCTTACAGAAACGATGATTATCTCTCATTCGCCATTGTCCCATTATTTTTCGTTTCGAGTATCTTTTGATCCCACGAGAACCAGAGGGATCTCGTTTGCATACGCAAGTGGCCAGGGATATTCTACTAACCCTTAAAAGTATTGTTTGGAGGACGTTTGGAATACATTGGCATAGCTGCGCCAAATGGTTTATACCTTCTTTGACGCGAATGAAAGCTTTGATGCTCGAAAGACGGAAATGGTTATCGATCGTGAGGGAGTAAAAATGAGAATAGTGATACTTTTAAGGGGATAAAAGGAGTAATTTTCCTTTCGAACCTTTCGACCTGACTTTCTTCAACAAGGTATACCTTTAGAAAGTATTAAACTGTGGTTGGTTATATATCAAAGGCTGTAGTTGAATACGAAGAGACAATTTGCCCCAGCGCGAATTTCATTTCTTTCTCGTACAGCCAGTCTCATAAGTATTCGTACCCTCAATGTCTATTGAAGGAATTTGTCTAAATTAAATGACAGATTTGATGTTTCTAAATAAATGATCCATTATAAATATGTACATAAATAGACTTCACACATGTATACATTTATCATACAAAATTTATTTGGAAACATCAAACCTATCAATTAATTTAGACAAATGTCTTCAATAGACATAAAAGGTTACGAATACTTATGGGATTGACTGTACGCCCCTACAAGTCTTATTTGTAATCTGGCGCAAAAGTAATTAGAAATAACTAATAGAGGTCGAAAAGATTAAACAAGAGTCTACCTTAAAAAAAGAAAATAAATCAACGCGTTGCATCGACATTTCTGTCAAATAAATCGAATTACCTGGACGAACCTCTTCACTCTCCGTAAAATTGTGTTATATCCCACGAGTATAAATTAGGCTGGTTCGCCTCGATCCCATCGGGTCGTCCGAAGTCCGATAGTAGTATCCGATCAAATTTCCGCTCGGAGAAACTTACCCCAGAGCGTGCGTCTTCTGGAACGCGTTTCCTCGCGAGAATCCTCGATAAGATGGCCGCGACCGCGCGTTTCCGCATAGGCGCGGACGGACGCTGCGACACGGCGACGAGCACGCACGCGATACCCCCGTTTATACGTGCGACGCATACGACACAGGCGGTTGCACAACCCCGTAAGATCGACGTACGTGCGAGTGTCGCGCGATATAGGCGACCAGCCAACCGCGGCACGACGTATAGCGGCGCCAAATCGGGAGCGACAATTATCAATATGCGAAGCACGGGCGGAGAATTTTTTCTGGAAAACGATCGAACTGAAACGGGTTAGGACGGAGAGGTTAGGATGAGGAGTTCGCTCGAGAGACTTTCAAGTGATTCCTAAAAGAGGGGGCAGAGACGGCTGGATAATTTTGTTAGTAGATCGATTGTTATTAAAACGTTAATCGCCATGCCATCCAGAAATTGGACATTTCATTACGGAATTAAAAAAATTAATTCCGATGGTGAGGCGTGAATAAAAATAAATCTGATTCTGATTCGTGAATTTGTCGAGCTAAAAAGTTAAACACTACAAATGCTAGATTATCTAATTTTCAATTGCCCCAAGACAAAATTGTAACCTTGTAGAAATATTCACGAGTTGTAGCCTGGCGGCCAACGTGTTAATCATTGGGAAAGATTGAGAAAAACAGTGTTTGGAGTTCGGTAACGTAAGTTTCTATCTGCGAAAGGTTTGTCATTATTGTTACCGTCATCAGCAACTAGGAATTTTAGAATTAAGAAAATATAGTATAGGAATATCGTTCAAAAACAACTACACTAAAATTTGAAGCCTCATAGGTCTCTTAAGTATCTTCTAAGTCTTACCACTTACAGGTTTTTCTACTTGCACGCGATCCAAAACGCAGGTGACGACTCACGATCGGCTAACTTTAACAATATCCGAGGTATAGACATGGTAACGTTCGATTTAATCAATTCAGCTTGTATATCAATGCCGTCTGGCCGAGGAGGGGGCGTCGAGAATCGGCCCGACGAGTGGTCGGGTCGTAACAAATTTTATGGAAGAGTCTGTACACGGGACACGCGCGGATGTATGCATAACGCATGCACGTACACGTTTTACCGATACTGGGTGGCGTGTGTGTGTATGCAGCCGGCTTTCCTGCATCTAATGTACACTTTTCACGTCGCGGCAAACTGCGCCGTCCGCCGTAAAGATAGTCGGGCAAGTGCACGCCGGTATTACGTGACGTGCCGCTCGATAATGATACCGCCATTGCGATAAAAACAAAGTGAACATTGTATATGCATGAATGTACGTTCACGCGTGTTGCGTGTGGGCGTAGCGTCGCGTACGCGACCGGGACGGCACGGAAAAATAATGATAACAATGACAACAGGTTATATAGTGCGTTAGCGAAACAACCTTGCTCGTTCGTTTTGTCCCCGTTATCGCGAATTATATTTCGCGAATCGCGGCTACTCGTTGAAATCTCCTTCTGTCGTCACCATTTTATTTGTCATTCTTTCGGGGAGACATATACATTCGCGTTTATGGAAAGAACGGGGGCAGGGATGCGAGGGCATCGATTCATTCACGGTTTCACCTCTGTCAGTTTTTCTGTGGAGCCTTTATTTTTGTCAAGTGCACTCGACGGACAGTGGACTGGCTCGCATAAAATTCACCGAGAGAGCTTATTCGCGTTTCGCGGTCGATCGAAAGATCATTCAGTCGAGTTCGTTAGTCGTATCGAGGGCGGCTCGAATGCCGCCAGTAGTGTTGGTCGGTTTTTGCAACGACTGCGGTCACCGACTCGTTCAAGAACGCGTCGAGAGAATGCGCCACGATACACACGGTCGAGTGCGATTGGATTTTCAGAATAATTAAAAAATTCATAGACGGTGCTTTTGCGGGTAATATATCTAGTATTTATCAAGGGTGGATGAAAGGCATTGCTCGTATAAAAATTGAATGTGTAGCGTATCTCTTGTTAGCACGATTTTCGGATGAAAGGAATTCCGACTTCGCGACGTACTCGATGACGTCATTTATAGTTAGTTCGATTAAGCGTAAAGCCTTGGGGGTTTGACAGTTTCATCGAAAACGTCGATGATATCGATCCACGAACGACCAGACGCGAAGCGTACTCCTCGAGCAGAGCAGGTGCGCCGTTCACGGCAAACGAGATGGATGTGCTGGATGTTCCCATATCGCGTGACCACTCGATCAACGCTACCGCGAGTCGACAGTGACTTACGCACTCTGGCACTCGACGAGATATGACACGCGCCAACGGCTTTCACCCTATTGTTACCTGCCTGTGCACAGCGGCCAAACATCTTCGATTTATCTACCATCCATATTTTCCTTCCCCTCGATCCTTTACGTTATATCTCCGGTATCCACTTTACTCCCTGACCCACCCTTCAACGTCGTTCGTGCCTGTAATCTTCGTTAATCTATACGCCGTGTATCATAACCACGAAACCATCCTAAAGTGTTCGAATTTTATACGTTTTATACGTACGATTTGAATCGAGATACCCTATAGAAACAGGAGCAATATTGAAAGACTATATTTCGCAAAAATTCGCACCCTCTATATCTAATGAAAAAATTTGTCTAATTTAAATGACAGGCTTCATGTTTTCACATCAATTTTCCATTATAAATATGTAAATGAATAAACTTCGCACATGTATACATTTACAATTGCAAATTTATTTAGAAACATGAAACGTTCATTTAAATTAGACAAATTTCTTCAATAAATATAGAGGTACGAATACTTATGGGACTGACTGTATGAAATATTCTATTAGACGCATCTAATTCCAGGGTTTCCTCCACTCTTTATACCTTCAAGAATTTGATTTTTGTACGTACTCTCGATCGAATTACCTTGGTATCATTCGTACTCTACACGCTAATGTAATCGTACTTTGCTGCACAAAATTTAGATAGTGGAATACCTATAGCGAGGAACGCGAATTTATTTAAACTTACTTAAAAACGAATCTATATTCGGTATTAGCAGTACTTACCAGATTCCAGAACCGTATAGTGTGGATTGCTCGTGTCGATAGGTAACGTGTCGCGTACCCAAGATATGATCGGAGGCGGTGAACCGATAGCCATGCAGAGGAGGACCGCATTGTGTCCCATTTCGACCACCTTCGTCGTCGGCGCTTGAGATATCAACGGGAATCCGTTTGGCAGTTTTTCCCCTGCAAAAGTCAAAAAATCACAAGCTATTAACCTCGGTTCGAGAGATATCTGCGTTACGGATCGCGTGTTCGAGTGCAAATGACAAGCGTTCAGGACAGAGTGGACGCCATCGAGCAGATGTTTAGACTAGGCTATCGATTTTCGGCGAAGTGCGTGTAGGAAAAAAGAGTCATTAGAGAGCCGTAGTGCATTGGGAACGGGTAAAGAGCATTTTAGGCTTGGAAACTTTTTTGTAGAATTTTTTACAATTACTTAGCATGGATTCTTGCAGCCATCTCGTGGTCCTCTTCAGGTGTACTAATTAACCCATTTGGGCGCAACTTGTACATCGAATTCAAATAAAATATTCACGATAAGCAAGAATTTTCCACTTCTCCATGTGACGCGAATGGATTAAGTCTACAGTAATTAAAAGAAATAATATTATAGACACGCCAGTGAAATTCATTTCTATCTTTGAACGTCTTCGAAGGTCCCATTTCTCTAGCTTTATTCTTGTTCGTGTATCGGTACGCATAATTCAAATTTAACGTTAACTCTTTCCGGCACAACGTTTCAGATAATAAAATAGATCCATGTTGCATAGAAATTTGATTGAGTTTTAAATGAAACAAAATTGGTATATTTTTAGTGATAAAAGAATCACATAATGTAAAAAACACTTGTTTATATACAGTGGGTGTAGAAAGTGTTCATATACCGATCAATTTCCAAAAAAACTATGTAAAATTGTAATTTATTCACTTATTGTTTATAAGCAATGACATTCTAGATATTCTTGGAAATCTCTAGAATAGACAGATTACAAAGAAAATAGCTATTTATGTAAGTTGTGAAATTAAGAAGAAAAAAACAATTAATCGATAGAAATGTTGAAGCAATAAGTATTCGCACAACTGTTTAAAAGTACTTTACTGGAAATTTGATGTTTTCTAATTCGTACGGAGCAATAAACTAATGTGTTTACGTTACAAACTCTACCGTAATTATTGCTTCTATACTTTTACCCACTTTTCGGATTTTTTTGTTAACTTCACAAATTATATTAACTAGTAAATGTTGTTTGGACTATATCTATCTTAGAGAGTTCCGAGAATCTGTAAAATATCATTGATTATAAAAAAAGAAGCTAAGAAAAGAAGTTAATAAACTACAATTACTCAGAAAAGTTTTTTTGGGAAATTGATCGGTGTACGAATACATTCTACACCCACTGTAGAACTAACTTTTATTCGAATTCGTTAATCGAACTCGAATATAGTGAAGTTCGTTATTATTAACTTACTTTTACGATTCTTCACATAAAATCAAGAAAAAAAGCTTGTCGCAATAAACCTTCCCAAATAAACCTTCCCTTGCAACGATTGATGAACCTGTACTGGCATGTTGCACGTTGCCAGCACAAGTGAATACATTTATAACATTTATAGAAGATATTACCAACTGTTCTACGTAAACAAGACGAAATATAAACCTATGCTCATGCGGTTATTGCAATATTTCGAGGTGGGACTAAAAATGTGCCATCATGTATTACGGTGCATCAAAAAGATGGGACACTTTCAATCCCAGCGTGATCCAAAAGGTTAATGGGTAACCTTCCCGAGCTGTTCTCTCGACTTGTTATTGTCGTCTAGTTCAGTTCCTCGAAAAGCTTCGAACAATAAAGGCGATACCGAACCATCGAGCGTTAAACCGAGAATAATAATTATTTTTGTATACTAAACGTTTTTTTTTTTTGTAAATCTCGACGAAGTGCTAACGGCAGTTGAAAATAAATTAGATCAATTAATTTCAAATTAAATTCTAATTTTATCATTTCCGCCTCGACGTCCCGTCGTTATCACAGACGAATCAAGCACCCAAGTGAGTGCAACGAGTTAGTGGAGCTCTTAAATGAAACAACTGTGTTAAAACGAGCAACAGCGTGAAAATCCGCGGTCTGGTTATTGCTTACGGGAAAGAAAAAGGTCTTAGAGGCAGTGGACGCACCCGCCCATGGAAATCGAGTCCCGATACGTCGATTATAGGTTCGAGCCGCGGAACGACAGACGGTCTGAAAGTAATGCCGGCGCGTGGTTGGCATGGAATCGGCACCGGTTCGAACCTCGACGTCCCGCGGCCAGTCCCGCGGGATCGAAAGTTAGGAAAACCCATTGGAACTACGAGGATATCCCATTCCCGTTTCCATCTCCCAGGACGGGAAACAGAGGCTTCGTCTCCTGCGAAGACGGTTCGCTGATACCGATAGATGCCGTCGGATATACCGGTGTCCGATGATAGAATCAGGATTCAATATACCGGAAAAAGTTCGTAAAACGGTTTATAGAGCACAGCCAGGGGAACAACGGGGGCGGGAAAGTATGAACGCGACGGTCGATGCCACGAAATTTTCTATCCGCGACCGGCTGGCCGAGAAGTCGACCGATTTATTTCTATTCCGTTGCATTTCCTCGGGAACCTCGACAATTCGCAGCAGCTAATCAAAACACGATAAAATAGAAGAGCGAACGACCGATCGAGGTCCACGGATTACCGGGTTCGATAATCGACCGCCCTAAGCGGATTCGATACACTCGAAACACTCGCGAAAGTTTGCTGTAAAAGCGTAAATATTTGTCGGGGAACTTCGATTTTTAAGCAAAAAGGAGGGTTTTGAGATTGTTTTAGATTCACCTCAGAATTTCCATGAATTCTGTTCTTGTTCGTATATAAAAGTACGTTTTACTTGTACTTCCAAGCATTTTTAACCCTTTGCACTCGAGGCCTTTTTTCTAGAATCTACCAGCTACTTGAGATGCTTTCTTAGCATTCTATTGCCACGAATGCTAAGCTATCGAGATTTGAGAAACAGGTCACCTTTATCTCACTGACCATCATTTTACTGACACTTGGAGTTCCAAAGAAATTAAACTTAAAGAAACATTATTGCTGATAGATTTGCTGCGTGAAACCCAATGGTGACAGAGAGTCACCTCTCGAGTGGAAAGGGTTAACCGAAGTTTCGACTATGTTTGTTAGTTCTCTTTAACGCTAAACCTGGTGACATTAGTTTGTAACTTTTTATACCGGGACAAATGACTAGTCTTAACCCTTTACAGGCGGCTCACAGTATATTCATAGATTCTTTTAGAGAGTAGGGTATCGGCTTCGATCGGTTATTAAGGCCGAAAGTCGCGAACGACGCGCGTGTCGGTCCGTGTACGGGAAATTCCGTTTGAAAGTCGTTACCCCGAGGCGAGATTAATTTGACTTGTTTTGAGGCGAGAGATACAAGCTACGTTCTTCACGTAATTACGGCGATACTGCGTTAATCCTTGGGGTGAACTCGTAGTTAAATTTAAGTTCGAGGATGCTACACTTCAAGTTTCGAACAATTTCGCGTGGTCCTAGTTCCATTTCGAAGGGGTTTACGCGCCTCCGAACTAACTCCTCGGCGGTTTCTTTCTTTTTCTGTTTTAATTAAAATCAACCGATAATTGCGTCACGTGGGATTAATTAAAAACCTGTTCCGCCTTCGAGTTTCCCGCGGTCGGTTCGTCTGGTAATCTTCGACGTCGACGATGGTCGCGGCAATACTTCTACGCCTATCGTTTCGCGATTGCACGCACAGCTTAGGACGTCGTGAAGTATTTGCGAACCCAAGGGAATCGGTTCATAACCAAGAAATTAGCTCGGACAAATTATTACAAGGGCCTACGAAGTGGGTGAAAGTTACCGAAGGCTTGGCGATCAAACTACAATTACCGTCGACGGTGGCCTCCGACGCCGGTTCTCCGCAAATCGTTCTTTTATAATCTCGTCAATTAAAAGAGCAATCGGAACTCGTGCTAGAAGTTGGCTCGCCTTAGGACTTTCGCCAACTTTGATCTGGCCGTCTCCTCCACTGGTAAATACATTTTAAGTCGGGAGAACCTGTTGGATCGCGTAGAATCCTATCGCGTGTCAGCGAAACGAGAACGGGCAACTTTTCGAATAAACGAGGCTTCGAGGAGGCTCCACGCACCTTCTCGCCGCGACTCGTATCGAGGCTTAACCTCTACGTTCGATAACGAGGTGTGGAACACATTGCAATTCTTAATTTACGCTCCATTGCTTCAACGCTTTAAAAGATTCATTTTTCTTCCATATCCAGATGGATCATATTTTTGAACATATTTCGTACGATTTCCGCCGGCGTATTTACGCAGAGAATCCGCTTCGACGAAACGCTGTCGCGTCCCTGTAAAAATCGAGGAAAGGAGCCCCGCCGTCCCGTGCCCGAACTCTGACGGGCGGAGGGAATCTTGACCCACTTAAATCTTTAAAAATACGACGTCGAGAGTTCGTTCATTCGAAAAAGGGTATTCCTCGCGTAAATCCCTCGGAGAATTTTAAAGACGCGCAAAAAGATGTTTCCGTGCCGTTTGTATCGTCCAGCTCGGGCGCATTCTCGCTAAAGTCAACCGAGGAACCGGCGCGCCCGTTTCCTCTCCTTTCCTTTCCTTTTCGCGTTTTACAAATTATTCACGTTATGCTTCACGACAAGATTCTCTCTTGCGAATGAAAGCAACGGCAGCCGGTATCTGAATCAGTTTTCTCGAAGGCATCCAGAGTAAAGCGTTCCGGTACGCGAGGTAAGGGAAGAAGCATCGCGGAAACGACCGACGGTTATCGTTGGGCGACAATACGAGAGAGGCAAAGCCCCGTCGGTTGACGAAGACTCGAGGGCGTCCATTTTGTCGATTTTTCCGTTCTGGCCCCGTTAACGAGCACAATTAACACGGGGATCGTCGGGTGGTTGCTCGGTTGGTGCACTCCGCTACGGCATCGAGGGACGAAGCCGGTTGAGCCCGTTGAATTCTGTCAGATTCAGTCGAGTTGTCGTGTCATCTCGCACCGAAGAGCCCCGCTCGTCGTTCTTCGCCCGGTACTTTCAGCGGATTTTCTTCCCATTGTTTTCTTCGCCGGCGCGGCATCTTTTGTCCTCGTTATCGTTCGGAGTTATCCGGCATGGCGG